CCAATATACTATCTGTTCTAAAATGTATCTCTTCTTAATAATCTTTTTATTACAAATTTGTGTAGTGATTAGTTCACTTCGACCTGTTTCCTGCAATATACTAACTGTCTCTAACATGTAACTCTTCCTAACAATTTGTGCAGTGCTTGGTTCACTTGAGCACCCACTTTCAAGCTTGTCACTGGAAGGCTCAATAACAACTGATGGTGAAAGTCCCAGGAAGACGCTGAAAGGCCTAAGTAATTCAAGTCTAGGACCTGGTGGTGGTTCAGGTGGAACCGTACTTTTATTCTTGCGCACACTTGAGATAGGGAGGTCTGCGATCCTCTCTAGTATTGGAGGAAATGGTAGCCTAAAGGGAGGTGGTGGAGGGAGTGGTGGAAGGATTCATTTTCATTGGTCAGACATTCCCACTGGTGATGTCTATCATCCTGTTGCCATAGTAAAGGGAAGAGTTTATGTAAGGTTTGTTATAAGAAGTTCATATGTAACGACCTTTTACAATATGATAACGTATTTGCGATTTCTATTTTGGAGAAACACAATTCTTTCTTAGTTATATAAGCACTCTAGTTTCTCTTCTTAATATGTTTCTAGAACATAACATGTGATTTTATAATGATTTACAGAGGAGGGATGGGTATTATTGAAGATAACGTTGGAGGGAATGGAACTTTGACTGGCAAAGCTTGTCCAGAAGGGCTCTATGGTTTATTTTGCGAGGTAGTGTGAAACTTCTTTATGTGTTATTGTCTTTCTGCATCAAAACATGTTTGGGTGGATTAGGGTTCTAGTTTTCCTATCCTCTCTACTAGGTTTTATTCAAATTGTTTCAGGTGATGTTACAATCTCTTTCCTAACCAAACAAATAGCAAGTATATTAAACACATAATGTCAGACCTGCTTAGGCCATAGGTATTTAGTGTCCTTTTTTATTATTTGTTGATAAATGGTCTTTCATTATCTATTACGTTAATGTAGTTCATCCTCCTTGCGAGCAGTGGCTCTCCAACTTCATTGGTTTAACAGGCTTCAACTGTCGACCAAAAGTTTTTAAGAAAAAACATGTTTGAACTATCTACACGTTTAAATATTCTACAGGAATGTCCATCTGGCACTTATAAGAACGTCACTGGATCAGATAAAGCTCTTTGTCATCTTTGTCCGGCTAATGATCTTCCTCATCGTGCTGTATATGTCACTGTTCGAGGTAATTTTTTATATGGAACATTGATCACTTTATTGAGGGATAATGATTTTCGCTGCAACGTGTTTCCCGTCTTTATTTATATTATCCTTAGTGTGTCTGATACACAAACTTCTTCTGTGTTACTTGTTTCTTGACAGGCGGTGTTGCAGAAACGCCTTGTCCATATAAATGCATTTCGGATAGATACCACATGCCACACTGTTATACTACACTTGAAGAGTTAATATACACATTTGGTGGACCCTGGTTGTTTGGTGTTCTTTTAGTAGTTGTGCTCCTCCTATTAGCACTTGTTTTCAGCGTCGCCAGAATGAAATTTGTTAGCGGTGACGAATTACATGGGTCTGCCCCGACCCAGCATGGCTCTCAGATTGATCACTCATTTCCTTTCCTCGAGTCGTTGAATGAGGTTTGCTTAGTCTTTATCTTTTATCTGAGTCTGAATGAAATTTTTTGAAGGGAGATGATATCATGTCAATGGAAACATAAAAATAGCGCCAGAGTGTTGCTGTTGCTAGTCGTCCAATTAACAGATAAATCTGAAATATCTCGTCGGAACTCATAAGAAAGAAGGAGAGATTTTGAAATAGGTTGCGATGCATGATTTTTATCCTGTGTTTGCTATCTTGATTCTATAGATTATATACAATTGTTAAGGTGCTCCTTTTATGGTTGATGTCTTTGTTGTAATATTAATTTTGTGTGTAATCGTATCAGGTGATGGAGACGAACAGAGTGGAGGAGTCACAGGGCCACATGCATAGGATCTATTTCTTAGGTCCTAATACTTTCAGTGAACCTTGGCATCTTTCTCATACACCCCCAGAGGAAATAAAAGAGATTGTGTAAGTTAGTTATTAGCTGTTGATAATATGTTCATGCCTGAACGTAGTTTTTGAAATACTTAGTTTTGGCCTCTCCTGGTTTAAATTTTCTCTAGGTACGAGGCTGCGTTTAATGGGTTTGTTGATGAGGTCAATGTTATAGCTGCATACCAGTGGTGGGAGGGTGCGATTTACATTGTGCTTTCAGTTCTAGTCTATCCTCTTGCATGGTCATGGCAGCAATCCCGCCGGAGGCTGAAATTTCAGAAACTCCGTGACTTTGTTAGATCAGAATATGACCATTCTTGTCTACGCTCATGTCGTTCAAGGGCATTATATGAAGGTCTAAAGGTACATATTCATCTTTTGAGCGATGCTCTCAACTGACTGCCTTTAGAACATTGTCAATATTTAGCAATAAAGAGAAAATAGGGATGTAATATAAGACTCATGACAATTTGTGTTAAGCAGGTAGCTGCTACTCCTGATTTAATGTTAGCTCATCTAGATTTCTTCCTTGGTGGCGATGAAAAGAGAAGTGACCTTCCTCCTCCGGTTCATCAAAGACTTCCAATGCCTTTAATATTTGGAGGCGATGGAAGTTACATGGCCTATTACTCACTCCAAAGTGACGATATTCTGACCAGTCTTCTGAGCCAGGTCTGTTTTTTGTTTCATAAAGACTGATCTATGTGACGTGGTCTTTTACTTGCTTCACATGTATGGTTTATTGACAATGACTGCAGTATCGTAATGAGTTTATCCCCTTTTATAGTTGGTCCCACCAACCACTTGGTACCGCTTTGTGGCTGGTCTGAACGCTCAGCTGCGTCTGGTTCAGCAAGGGAAACTGAGGTCCACGTTTCGCTCTGTCATGAGATGGATTGAAACTCATGGAAACCCAGCTTTGAAAAGACATGGTGTACGTGTCGACCTAGCTAGATTTCAGGCATTGTCTTCGTCGTCTTGCCAGTATGGAATCCTTGTTCACACCATTGTAGATGAAGATGCGTCAACAAGAACTGATGATGAAACAGAACAGCAGCACCCATGGTAAGAAGTTTCACTTCGGTTCTCTCTGCTGCTTATTTGCCAAGCACATTATTGCCAACGATCCAGACGTTCACTGAGTTTTGAATATGCAGGGGGACACAAATTGAAAACTCCTCTGGTGATTTCAGGGAGAATTTTCAACCTCTAAGAAGCGAAATCAACCACGTAAGGCATCGAGAGTGTGGAGAAATCATAGACATTGGAAGCTTACAATATCTCAAAGAAGATAAAGATGTTCTTTCCCTCATCTCCTTCTTGATTCATAATACAAAACCTGTTGGCCACCAGGTAAAGCCTTCCTGCGACTTCATCTTTGCTTCAAGCATGTTGCCTTTTTTTTTCCTATTGAGGGTTCTAAAATCTGTAATATTCCGTGGTGTTGACAGGATCTGGTCGGTTTGGTTATCTCGGTGCTACTCCTAGGAGATCTAACTTTAATGTTACTCACGCTGCTCCAACTCTACTCGATATCTTTGCTGGAAGTTTTTCTCGCTATGTTTATTTTACCTCTCAGCATCATTTTCCCATTTCCTGCCGGGGTCAGCGCTTTGTTTAGCCACGGACCAAGGCGCTCTGCTGGTCGCACACGCGTTTATGCATTGTGGAACGTCACATCCTTGGTCAATGTCGTAAGTATTTCTCTCTTTATGCAAATGCTACATCTGAAAATTCGCCTTCTCTAGTTTATGCAACTTCCTCTTACATGATTAAAAATCCTTTTGTGCATGGTGGGGTTTTTGCAGGTTGTTGCGTTTGTGTGTGGATATGTTCACTATCATGGCTCATCATCTGGGAAAAAGATCCCGTATCTCCAGCCATGGAACATAAGCATGTGAGAGAAGAAAATAAACTTCACTTTAAGTTCAAACCAAACAACACATTCCTTCTTGCATCATCGACTAAATTCTATTTCGTTTGCAGGGACGAGAACGAATGGTGGATATTCCCAGTCGCTTTGTTTCTATGCAAAGTCTTGCAATCCCAACTCGTAAACTGGCACGTTGCAAACCTCGAGATACAAGATTACTCCTTGTACAGTGATGACTCAGAGGTGTTCTGGCAGTCGTGAGACGCAAACCAAACCATGATTTATACAAAACAAGGTGGACGGAGCTCGTTTTTTTTAAAAGGCGTCTTCTGGTTTGTGCACAAGCTGATTCAAAGTTTTTTCAGGTGAATATAGCTAACTCTTAGGAAAGTAGGAAAAGGAAAGAATAATCCTGAAAGCACACGCTTATATTTTGATTCCCAGGCCAAGATCCATCTTGTTTTCTTTTTGGTACCATTGATGGATCTCTCAGATGATCCGGACTTGGATGTTTGTTTTGCGGTTTTAAATGTTGTATGTCTTCTTCACTACAAGTATTCTCTTCTATTGGTTTGGTGATTATGTTGGTGCACTCTTGTTGTCTCTCTTCTTCCTACATTAGTCCACATTATACTAACTAAACACATGGTTTGAGAAAAGTATGAACCCGGATGTTGCAGAGCAATAGTTCGGCCCGTCCTATCACAACCACCCTATTTCAAAATGGATTGACTTTAGTTCCCATATGCAATGTTGTGGTACTGAATTATAATGTTGTAGAGTATAGCCCATGTGTGACATTACATTTTTGAGGCAATTTTGTTCTCTTCCCTCTCACATGTTTCGGGCCTTCCATTTCTACAAGCTTTTCTCTTCTCTCTCAAATGTAAGTATCTTCATTCTTTCTTTTTGATCAGTTAGATGAAACTCAGAAAATGCTACCTTTTCCCATAGTTGCATATTTGGAAAATTAGACGATAAAGTAAATACTTGAAATTATTCAGCGGCCCACAAAATACAAAACACATTCGGAATTAAGAATGTTATGAACTTGAATGTTGTAGAGCAATAATAGTTCAGTCCGAGTTCATAACCGATCGGGCTTAAAAAACGCAGAGGATTCAAAATAGGCCGGGATCAAAACGGCCCATCACAGACACTTTATTCAACAAAATTGAGTTTTAGTTTCATATGCATACAAGGCTGTGAACAAAATGTTGTAGAGAGTGATAGCCTACGTGAGACTTAACAATTTTTGAGGCAATTTGGTTTTCTCCTAACCAATTTTATAAAACATAGATGCTGGAACAAGAACCGGATCTGAGAATGAATCTCTCCAGGCAAACAAATCCAAGAAGCTGCAAATAAAAGACACATACACAGAGAAAATCAATGCGCTCTCTTCTTTCCATCAAGGAGATTTTTAATCTTAAAAGCAACGTAAGACCATACATAATCAGGCAACTATGATTGTTCATCTATGGATAAGAAGAATAGAGTACCTGAAAAAGTCACTCTTTGTTAAGAATTTTAGGGACTTTTAAATAAGCCTCCTCAAAGCTTGGAATGGAAGCTCTTATACTGTCCCTGTTAGAGGTATATCAAAAAAACTCCCAAGTTTAGTAGATGGATTTCATCTTAAAACCGGTATCATTCCTATAATTCGAGATGAAGAAAACAGTGTGAAGATCAATCAAACCTGTTCTCAAATGTTTCTGGAGCATCCTCTCGCAAATTTCCGCCATCCATTTCTATGAGTAAGGATCATCACGAATCAAGATATTGAAATAAAAGCCGGAATTCCAAACGGATCAAGAATGATAACTAGACCTCTTACTAGTGTAAAACCATATTGGCGACCAAGAGAATGTGCTTAGACTTACAGTCTCCAATCAAGTCTAGCTTATAAAGATGTATCACATGAGTAGCCTACTTGAAACAGAAACAAACTCAGGATTTGCCATACATACGCTAGATGGATGCAAACAAATCTTACTTACAAACTAGTTATACCAAAGTTAGCTATATAATACACAAACCAATCTATAAGATAAAAGTCAAAAATACACTAGACCAAAAAAAAAAGAAGAAAGTTGAGTAGTTGATAGGGGATAAAAGTTTCTGATTCTAACCTGCTCTAATAGCTGGCTCCACACTGTTAACATCAACTTGTTGAAGCTGCCCAAACCTGCATTTCTCACCCATCAACAACAAAACATGGAAGCCAATTTCGTGCAGAAAGAGATTGATTAAGTTACCAGTCGATGACTCGACGAATTTTAGTTTCACATTCCTCTATCTGAAAGAAAAAAAAAAAGAGAAGAAGAGGAACAATGTGAGGAACTCAATTGGACAAAAGTAGATTCGAGAAAGAGAAAAAGCGAAGGGTACCTCGTCCGGAGTTAGAGAGATTCGAGCTGTCTGAGCTAGACGGGACACGTCCGGCGGCTGAAGAACGGAGGAATCCGAGTCAGACGAGTAACTTGGAGCTATTCTGTGGATTTTTCTACTCTGTCGTCTTTGGTAATAATGACTTGAAGAAGAGGAAGTTAAAGATTGGATTTTGATCCTGCTCGGAGAGATGAAGCAGCGATTCGGAGACGCAGATATAACGGCAAGCAAAGCTCTGGTCGCCATGGCTGGCTCAAGTCCTGTGAATTGATGGTGTGGCTATGGCTTGCCTGGCTGGATAGATTTGAGTTGAACAAATAAAAATAATATAGCTAAACCGGTTTTTATAAACCGGTCCACTTACAAAAATCGAATTTTGTTTTTCAGTTTTCAATCAAAGATGACACACATTTGGTGACTTTTACGGACTAAGTTATAACGAAATAAAACAAAAGCCCATTAATAGGCCCATTACAAAACCCTAAAATCAGTTTTCCCCAAATAAGTTTCCTTCGAGAGAGAGAGGAATAGATCGGCGATTTTTCCGATGATGATGCTGAGATCTGCAGTGAGATCATTTTGTTCCTCCGGACGTGATGTGAGTCTCTCTCTCTCTCTCTCTCATATTCTTCTGGGAATTTTGGAGTTGTAATCAGCGCATATGTCTTTGGGAATTTTAGGAATTGTTTAATTTAGGGCATGTCTTGTTTCAACCCAAATCGTATCGTGTCATTCTTCAGCTAGTCAAAATTCAACATCCTATTATATACTATCAAGAAAGAAACTCGAACAAACGTGTTTGACTTGGCTTGGATTCAAGTTACTTTGTCAGAATTTTCAACTATTCTTCATGAGTGCTAGTATTAAAGTATATTATTATATGTCATAACTTAAGGTTTCTTTTCATGGAGCTATTTTGCTTCTTTGATTATATGTGCGTTCTTTGCTTCAGATTCTGCTATATTTGACTGATTTTGTGTTCCTTCTTTTTGAAGTTTGAGCCTGATGCAGAATCCTTCTTCCGCAAAATTTTCGCTGCATATCGTAAAAGCTCTTGATTCTCCTTCATCCTAACCATGACCATGCTCCGAGTTTAGAACTTTTGCCACCGTTCCCCTTTTTTCTCCGACACGCTCATCTGCCTTGTCACGCGGTGCAAAAGAGCTGAGGTTTGCTTCATGGCCAGGGAAATAAAGCAAGAGTCAGTATGTCTCATACCGATCAACAATTCCGTCTCTGCTTCTAGGGCATTTGCTTACACAGTATGTCGAGTCGGTGCTTTTCGTCGGACTTGGAAGCATTTAAGCCACTTGCTCGTATAAAGCCCGACGAAAACACCGACTGGACATACCGTGTAAGCAAATGCCCTAGAAGCAGAGACGGAGTTGTAGATCGGTATGGGGCCTGCTGACTCTTGCTTCATCGCCCTGGCCATGAAGAAAACCTCCGCTCTTTTGCACCGCGTGATAAGGCAGATGAGCGTGTCGGAGAAAAAAGGGTAACCGTTGACGAGTACATTGAGCTGAAAAGGTTTATTATGAGTCTCCAAGATCAGGTGAACGCGCTCTCCAAAAAGACTCCATAAGAAGAAGCGTTTGTGGAAGCAGCAGGATGAGACATTACGCATTGGTCTTCATTTTAGTTATGGTTTGTGATTTGCTTATTCGTGCTTTACATTGAGGTTCAGAATCATAACAAGGACTCTTATGGACAAAGAGGCAGGGCTTATTCTGTGATTTCTTACACGCGGCATGTCGTGTCACAAGAAGAACCCTACTTGTTTACACATACACCGATAGTATGGGCCATGATGTGGTGGGATCCATCAAATTAGCCTTTAAGCTCCAAAACCCAGATACACCATTCATCATGCATGTCTTTTGGTGATTTTCAAACGCCCAATCTTTTTACAGAAATTTTCAATTGGCACTACAAATCCCAAAAGTTTAATTTCTCATCAGCAAAACGTAGGGAACATTTAATTCCGGACACGTCCGGCGGCTGAAGAACGGAGGAATCCGAGTCAGACGAGTAACTTCGAGCTATTCTGTGGATTTTTCTACTCTGTCTTTGGTAATAATGACTTGAAGAAGTTAAAGATTGGATTTTGATCCTGCTCGGAGAGATGAAGCAGCGATTCGGAGACGCAGATATAACGGCGAGCAAAGCTCTGGTCGCCATGGCTGGCTATATCTCTCAAGTACTGTGAATTGATGATAGTGTGCCTGGCTGGATAGATTTGAGTTGAACAAAATAAAAATATAGCTAAAGCTGTGTCGTTTTCAAGGACTAACTAAACCGGTTTTATTAACAAAAATCGAATTTTGTTTTTCAGTTTTCAATCAAAGATGACACATTAGGTGGACTAACTTATTTTGGTTTACGTAATATATGATTGAAACAAAATAAAAATGCGGAAGAAGGTTGCTTTGATATAATGTCGCTGGAGTGTTACTAGTCTACTTTGATATGAAAAATACAGAGTTCATGTCGTACGAACCCCCAAAACCCAGATACACAAATAGATAGATATCCAGCTATTGATTTAGCCTCAAACCGGCACTAACATTCTTCCAGAAAAGCTCTTCCGAGATTGGTGGCCAGAGCAAGTCTCACTGAACCCACAGCTTGAGCAGACAAATCAGATTCTATGAAGCCTGGTCTTAACCTTGCAATTGATAGCTCTTGTAATTTGTTCAACATCAGTTCGGTCTGTGCTACATTCAACAGCGAACGTTCTGGCCAATTCAACAGCTTCAACTGCACAAACAATTACTCTTTTTAGTTGCGCATTCTCGTATTTGGAAAATCAAAAGGAGAGAAAACAAGTTTTGGTTCTTTACTGAATCATGCAGAAGAGGAAGCCAGAAGCGTTGAGGAGTAGAAGCGCTCTTCATTAGCTGCAGTAATTCAAGTGGCATTAATCCCAATAAATTCAGTGGAGAAAAATGGGTAACAAAGATGTTGTACTACACACCCATACAAGTCTCTCTACGGCTTCATAAGCTGCGTCTATAGTTTTTCCATCATGGACTAGCTTCAGCGATCTCTTGAAATCTCTATACCTGGAATATGGCATCGATAATCAATTAATAATGTTGGGGTAGATTTTTACAAGAACAAGTCATTTCATAGAGAGAGAGAGAGAGATGATTAATACTTGTGAAGAAAATCGAGACCACCAGAGATCTGTGATTCCGAACCCAGCAACTCGACTAGGCCTTCCCATTGCTGCATGTATCAAATGAAACAATGTCATCTAGTGCACAGATAGAACCAACAGTAAAATTATATACTGAAATTTGCTTTGAGTATGGCTTAGAATATATACCTTTAGGCTTTCATCAGACAATGACTTTCCAACAGAGTCAAACAGCTGTTGAGCAATCATGCTGAGACAATGTTCATCCCGAGCTTGCTGGAGCCAGAAAATCCCAGAGCCTTTCCTCCCATGTTTCCAATGATGTACTCCAGAAATCTGAACACCATAACTTCAAATTAAATCTGTATTTCCTTTTTCCGCCAAATTTGGAGATTAGAGAACACAGGTGTAAAGTAGTGCCTCAATTTATCAATACCTTCATAAGTTTAGCACTGACATTACTGAGTTCATATAGACGGCAAATCTCTAGGCTCTGGAACAGGAGAAACATAAGTACCAGGTGAAGGCTTTTGACAAGATCCTAGAATTTTAAACGACAAACCAGAACTAGAAATTGATGTATAAATGAATAAACGAAACCTTAATAAGCAACTGATTCTCTTGAACAGGCTGCCTGTAGAACAACAACTCTAATAAGCCTAATCCCTGTTTCTCGCACGATGCTAGATAAATAGGAGCTATCTGCAAAAATTTCAAACACAAAAAGGAAGAGTTTGATAAAACAAGAAGTGTAATAGGAAAGGTACCGATTTGATTACAGGAAAGGTACCGATTTGATTACAGGAAAGGTACTTGATATATCATAAAAGAAAGATACCTGCCAGGTCAAAGCATGAGAAGAAAGAACTTGAGCATAAACAAGTCTGTGGAGCTCTTCCATGTTGATTCCACCCAACTTTCGCTGTTCCTCATGTACAAGAGCTTCTCCTTCATCGCTTCCAGCTGTCAATAATTCCATGGCATGTGCAACCATCCTAAAAAAACATGAATAGTCTTCCTGATTCATATAGATAATAGTCTAGCGTACTCAATACACTTAGTAACACGAAACAAATACTGCCTGCCTACCAGGAGCCAAACTCTTTGGAACACTCTGCCAGAACAACCTGCATCATTTAATTACACCATGCTGGATTAGAAAGTGGCAAAGGGCTGAAACAGATGCACCTCTGACTAGGTTTAAGATGTACTACTGACCTCAGTATTTTCTCCAAGAATTCCAATAAGCAGTCTTAGAAGCTTATGGAAAGTGTTACATGGCTTTGACTGAACACATTTCTGGGCTAGGCTATGCATGCCATCTAATCCCTGCAATGCAAAATGGTATTAATTGGATTTTCAAGTTTACTATTTGAATAATAGGGATCGAGTAAAAAATACACGGCTCAAATTAAATAGACAAAAAGCGAGTATAGCAATTCACCTTCGTGAATGGCCTGAGATAAAGAAGATGTGAAACAAAAAGCTCCATCCAGTTACATGTCGCAGCTGTGAGGCAATCAGCATTTCCCATCATGATCTTCAACATATTTCTCAAGCCCTCGCGGGTCTGATGGTGAGCACATTGAACCCAGAAGGCACTGCACTCTAGTTTAGTTATCTGAGACTGCCATCTTTCTCGTGTCTGGCAAAAAGGGCAAGATGAGTCTAGACACATAATCAAATACACTAAAAAAGAGTAAGAATGATACATCTTTCTAACATACCTTCATAAAGTCAGGCTTTGCTGCATAGCATTCACCAAACTTCCCATCTTCTAGTTTTGGACGCATTCGTGGCATTTTTGAAATGAGAACAGCAAGGGCTTCTACCAGACCATTTTCTGTCTACTTCATCAAATTTGTATTACATTATGAATAGTCAGAAATATGTGCATATAAAAAAGTACTAGCACGAAGCTAGTCACTTCATATGACATAAATCCTAAACATGAACTACTTCATTCTAACCTCACGATGTCCCAGCTGGTCTAGTTGATAAGAACCATGTAAGTGTAACAACTTCACCTGAATATAAAAAGTATGGGTAGAAAATTTCTCAAATTGTAAATTTTCAAGATCAAATTACAAAGAACCCCTAATCCCAAAAAAAGTACTAACCACTATTTCTAGCCAACCGACTGATAAAGCAGATGCCATCACTCCCCAGTATCTAGGATCATCCTCGATGGCCTGCAATGGCACATAAACCCATTAAGATAATTCAGTTCTTCAATCACTTATTATCTAAGAAAACTACCAATTCTTCTATCGACTTCTTTAGAGAGGAGCAAACCTGTAGGCCAACAAGTTCCTTTTGGAAATCCTCAAGCTTTGAGTAGATTGTTGGATGTGAGCTTGAGAGGAGTATATCGTAGTCCTGCAATGATATAAATGGTGGGTAAAAAAAAAACTCTAAAATTTTCAAAATTAAGATAGCTTAAGTGTTGAAGGAAGAAACAAATTACAGATAGCCAATCGACGAGCCGTTCTGGCAACCAAGACAGACATGTCTTATCTGCATAAAACAATTCCATCAACTCCCACGCAGCCTTTAAAGAAGTTGGTTCCTCAGCATTCTGCAAATGTATGTTAACAAGAAAATTCATTAACAAAGCTCCCACACTCAAAGCTATAGCCTCACTCGCAGAAGAGTTAAAATTGTTATAAGAAATAAAAGCTCGATAACAGCATAGTAAAGTTAATCGAATTGAACCAGAAACACCTACATACCGTTATAACTGATCTTGGGTCTTCAATCAAAGGAGCGGGAGAAGATATTGTATTACTAAGGAGAGATTTAATATCTCTGCTGTATTCCATTACGTATTCCCACCTGATACCAATCCAAAATGCTCAAACGCGCTTTAGAAGTCTAATCATACGACTAAATTTTCAATTGACAAACCATTCAAATGCAACAATAAGCCAAAACAGTAATTCAGCATTGAGTGTACTCACCACGCAGTCTGGTGCAAAGAGGAACTCATATCCATCATAGACAAACTGGAAATTGAGTTTCTCCTGCTCTGCAAAAGCGCAAACGGAGATACCGATCCATAAGCGATCCTTCGCCACTGTGCGTCACTGATTTCGCCATCCTCGCCGCTAAGCCTAACGTTTACCACTTTACCACCAGCGTCTCCGTCATTATCATCGCGTAACTTCGGATTCCGTAGAACCGTGACGCGTAGGTTGTTTCCGCAACCCCAGGAGATGGAGAGCCTATGAACCGGAGACTTCAAGCCGTAGCTTAGAGGATACAACACCGGAACTTTTTCCTTCGCCGAAGACAAAACCAATTCTCCACCGCCGGATTCCGAAGTTATACCCGGCATTTTGGAGCTCCGATTGTGGAAATGGCCGTTAGGGTTTTAGATTGGGGTTTCAGCTTTTCCGGAGGGAGAAGACCTGAACTCCCACTGGGAACAGACCAGAAAAAAAGAGCGACGACAGTAAAACGCACCGTGTGGTAGACAGATATTTTATATTTTAGTAGCTATAAACTCTTAAAACGTTTCTAATTGGACCATATATGTTGCCAAAATGTACATTCAGCACCCAAACAACGCGTCGTTTTTTTAATTAGACATATGAACACCTTGACGTTTACCGTTACAAAGCTGTCCTTATCTCTCCTCTTCATCATGGTCATTGGCATTCGAATTTAAGGCTTAGCTTTCTTCCTCTGTCGCCGAGGAGAATTCGCCAGACGCATACCATGTGGCCTTCGTCTCGAAACTCTTCGCAGCCTCAAGCTATGGTATTGATTCGCCTTATGTTCTTAGTTTTGTTGCTTCTTTTTTTTCAAATTTTTAGCTTGGACTGAGGAATTGAGACCAGTTTAATCACAACTAACGAATGGACTCAGTTGGCGAGTGTGATGATTTGGAAAATTTGAAAGTAAACAAATTACAAATTCTGGAATCTGGATTATATAATGTTCTTTTGAGCTCTTTCTTGTTTTATTTATTGATGATAAAATCGGTTAAGCTTCAAAGTCTGAATCTTTCTAATTATTTTACTTTGCTGTAAGTGCAAGTGTTTGGCTTCATAGTGTAGAAGTTAAAGTTCTTTTATGTATGTCCATGGTTGATTTGGCAAATAAAAATTAGAGATTTGTGGTGTAAATTTGAATGTTTGCTTCTTTTCTCACTCACTTAAAGGAGAATTTATCATGTTGTATCTCTGAAATCTTACTGGGACTGCAACAAACGAGCTTTATTTACGCTGTTGTTTTGGTCATGTACCCTTAAACCAGTATTCTTGTTGGATAGTTAAACATGTTTTTTTGTGGGGTTTTTTCCGGTGAATACGATCAGAGACAAGAGAAGAAGTCGATATCTGGCAGTTTTAGGGCAGAGAATCTCATACCAGGGGTTGTGATAGGATTCATCATAGGTATGATATTGGATTTATCACAGCAAGTGAAATCCCCAGTGAAAAGGAGCAGACTTTTATCGAGTAAGGTCCAGAAGCAGAGTTCTGTACCTGGCAATGGCAAGGACCAAGAGCTTAAAATGGTTTGTGTATCATCTAGTGTAGCGTTAGTCTCTTGTCTCTGGCCCTAGATTTTATTGGTTTGGAGCAAAGTATTGTCACTTAAATCCTTATATACAAAACCTAGTGATAATATAAGCTGATTTCTGTTCCAAACCCATCAAATGACAGAGATTTGAGCTTCATAAAAGAGACTTGCATAATCTATACAAGGATGGTGATAAGTTTTTAATGATGTTAGATTTCTAGACTAAAAGTTAAAAGCAGAACATTTGTGTCACTAATTTCAGCTTGTTCTGATCACAGGTATTGGTAGTTAGGCAAGACTTGAAGATGAGGACAGGCAAAATTGCGTCACAGTGTGCCCGTAAGTGTCTTATGAAATGTGTTTGAAATTTGAACACTACCACTTTTTGTTTTAGGCCTGAAAGTAAAATGACTTTCTTTCTAATATTCGCAGATGCTGCCACCGGCATGTATGCAGAGTTGATGCAGAGGTAATTTCGGCTGAAATGAGTTGTTTGCTTTGTATAATGCATCAGTACGGGGTTTATGTTTATTCTTAATTCTTCTAGTGACCGATATCTTCTGAGGCGATGGGAGGAAAACGGGCAACCAAAGATAGTTGTCACTTGCAAAAACCAGCAAGAAATGTAAGCAGGTGAAAATTTTGGGGAAACAGACAAAATGCACATCAAGAAATATGATTACTTTACTTCTTGTGTTAGTAGGTTATCTGAATAAATTTGAAAGCTACATTTATCTTTTCTGCTCTCAGGAATAAGATCACAGAGGCGGCTGAGAGCGTTGGCCTCCCGACTTTTGTTGTAGCTGATGCTGGCAGAACAGAGGTAATTACAAGAATCTTAGTTTTCTTACTTTGTCGTGCTTGATCAATTATTGAGACTGAAAGAATAATCAAAAGCTCCTCCTATACAAAGGAAATCTGAAAGTTTCTACTAATCAAATAGACAGAAGACAAAAACACCATCCGACTTATTGAAACACGAGAAGAATTAAGACGAAATTACCTGTTCTTGAATTGAAAATTATGTGTGGTTTTTTTTGTGGTAAGAGTAAGCTAAAAAGTTCTTCTGGAAACTTAAACTCTTCCTTTCACAGGTTGCGGCTGGATCAAGAACAGTTCTTGCAGTTGGGCCCGGTAGAGACAATAGTTTCTTTAAACTTCTGTTTCTAGCTAGAGCAAGGTGTTGTTCCTCAACATGTTCATTACTTTTTCTGTGCAGGACCAAAGGAGTTGGTTGATTCCATAACTGGTAGGCTGGCTTTACTCTGATTCAGGAGCTTTTTCTTGGCGTAGATCCTCTGAGATTTTGATTTCTCCAGGATTAAGGTTAATTCAGGCAAGGCATGTTGTGTTGTTGTGTAATGATTAAACAAGGTTCATGTTAGATTTGTTGTTGGTTAATTAGTGTTGGATTCATGTAAATTTCGATTACATTCTGACACTTCCAAGTTTTTACCGTCGCTAATTTAAACTAATAAAGGAAACATTCTCATATATACAAGGGTACATTAGAACATGAATGCCAAGATTGATCGGTCTAACCAATAGCACTATGCTATTAGCCTATTATTGATCCCTCGGCAGTCAATAGTAGAAATAGTACAAAAAAAAATGAATAAGTTAAAATTGTAAAAGTATATTTATTTACAAAAAAAAAAAAAATTGTAAAAATCATAATCGTAATATAGTTTTATTTTCCCTTTACTGATATATAATGATTTTTAAGAGAATCTAACAATACCACTCCTTGTACCGACATGCTCTTCTAACTCTCTCATCATTTAAAAAGCTTCCGGACATTACTAGAAACGTACTGTGACACTTTTTTCCCGTCGTACTACCTCAATTTTACGTACATGTCTCAGTGCTTTTGTTAGAAATGATTCTTATTAGTGTTTTTACTTATGTTTGTTTAGTTTTCGTATATAGTATATGTGTGTGTAGCGTATATCGTCCTTCTCATGTTTTAAGTTTTATATTCTTTCTTTTTTTCCGTTTTATTCTTTCTTTTTTTTTTTTTATGTAACATATTTGGTGACTTTGGAATGGATTTGCTTTTGATACTTTCTTTGAGTGACGTCGAAGTCTTCCCCAAAGTTCAGCTCGCTACGTTGGACCGTTATGATTCCACATTATTATATAAATATCTATATGCATCACATGGCATACAGTATACGCAACATACTCACATGACTCCATAAATTTTAGATATATGTGTGCTTTTACGTATTCTTTTCTTTCCTTTCTGATATGATATAAACCAACATAAACAACAATGTCTAATATTGTTTATTAACAAATAAGAAATGTTTTTTTTATTCACAGTTATGTTTGGATGATAGTTAACAAACAAAGAAAAACAGTGAGAGAAATTTCGAAAGAGTTTTGGTATTATATTATCTCATTTACTGTACATGGAATGCATAGGCTTTTGTAAAGGAGTTCATTGTTCAAGCCTACCAATCGGTAAATTACTAAATTTTCAGATCAAAGTGTAAAGTTGAATGGAGTGATAAGAATTGTTTGTGCATAGATAAAATCTAATAATAAAGATCGCTTCAACCAAAAGAAATTAGACATTACAAGTACGGTCCGTGGACCTTTACCTATATATCTCAATCAAAATAAAATATTGAATGTTGGTTAAGAGGAGGACCATTTTTTTATAATAGCTATATAATACACTACTATACATCATAAATTTCGCCCACTTGCTGGTTAGGTTTGCATGAGAATGCATGTGACGAGCACCTCAATCTATGCTTCATTTTCCTTTATTTAATTGAACAAGTAATTTCTATATGACTTTTGTGCTGTGCAAATTTGTATTTGTCCCTATTATATTATACTAGATATATTTCAGATTAATACTAAAGCATCAGATTTCCTCGAATATTGTCAGAATGTAAAACGTGAAAGAAGTTGAAATTCGGGGAATAATTAAGTTTGATAGATCGAGCATCCTCCTTGAACGAGCATCCTCCTTGGATCGATCTCGGTGCGTTGGGTGAATAAGTAAATACAGTTTCATGTAATCTTAAAGTTCCTCTGAATTTGATTTTAAATTGAATGTAATAATATAGTTCTTCGTCACACAGGCGAGTGCAACCAAATTAATCACACACACACACACACTTGACACTTTATAAAAATAAAAACGGTAGAGAAAGGGAAATACCAACTATTTGGATTATTCATTTTGGGTTCTAGTTGGTTCAATTATTTTCGTGGCTATTAATTCGACATATAAAAACCAGAAACAGATTGATACGTACATCGTGATTAATTAACTCGTTTCTACCCTGCCTACAATTGTTTTACAACCTTTCTAATTTAAAATTTGGGAAGTCGAAGACCAAAACAAAAGTTATCAAATATATCAATAGTACTAGTAGTAGTAGTCTGCAGAAAATGAAAAACAATTAAGATGTTAAAAAAAAAAAAAAAAAAAAAAAGCTAAACGAAAAGAACAAATTATTGCGAAATTATCCACGTGGAAACAGGAAGCTAGATTAAGTGTCTAAAATCAGGAGCAACGTGGTTATTATTATTATGCATTACTAAATCTTCACCGTTGGATCTGATATCCATCAGTAGATTCTCACACCTAAGCTGACTCAGCAAATGCTCGTCTCTCATCTCCTTTTGTCGCCGGAGCTCCATCACTTTCCTGTGAGAGTTCGAGTGTCTCGCCATCACGAACGTAGGGCTCGACGCCGGTCTATACTCCGGCACGAGCCTCCCTGATTTGTACCTTACTCCGCAAGCGTTGCACAGCGTCTTCGGACCCATCGGTCCCGTCCTCCATTGCGGCGTCTTCTCCGTCGCGCAGTGCAGACAACGTCGTCCTCCTCCAGTTTCTCCGCAGTCTACGTCCATATCTGCGGCGAAGTCTTGTTCTTTAACTCTTCGTTGTTTCTTCTTGGGATTGGTTTCGTTGGAGTCGGCTAGGGATAAAAGGCGGGAAGCCCACGTGGAGGCTGCAGAGCGTGATCTCTTGCTTCTCGCTTTGGCCGGAACAGCGACGTTGGATTCATCTATGTCGATGAATTGATCAAAATCGGGTTCGGGTTCGGGTTTAATCAGGTGGGTCAGGGTCGACCCGGTGGTTTGAGGGTTTTTTAAACCGGATAATAAGTGAAGCTTGTCTTGGACTTCTCCTGAGAATGATTCTTCCACAAAATTTGATAGCCATTCTAATTCAGCTATGTCGTCTCTCTGATAAAGTGATTATTAAATAAGAAGAAAAAAAAGTGTTATTAGTTCAGAAATATATCTCATTTTCATAACAATTGATGTGAAAAAATTAATGGAAAATTACCGGAACACAGAGGTCGGAAAAGCCAGTGCCGTCGGTGAAAAGCGAGGAGGAGTTGGAACTGTCGGTGAGAGTGCCGGTGGAGAGGGCGGAAGAATCGGGAAGAGTGTCAAAGCCGTCGTCAATTTCACCGTCGTCGTTAGAAAAGTCAAGGAGGTCGTCGACGACGAAAGAGTCAGTGTTACCGGCGACGAGGAAAAGCTCCGAGGTTAGCCGTTCCATTGGGGAAAAAACAGAGAAGGTTAGAACTGTAAATAAATGAAAAAAAGGAAGAGACTTTTTGGGAGGTGAGCGAAGAATGTAGCGGAGAGAAGGAGAAGAAGAGAGAGAGGGAGAGGTCTATTTTTAGGGTTGTGTAAAGGAGAGTGATGTTAGAGAAAGTTATGGTTCATGTGAGAGATGAGAACGAGACAGAGGACAGCTAAAACAGAGGAACTTTGACTGTGTGTTACTCTTTTTTTCTTTTCTTGTATTATTAAATGGATTTACTAAAATTATAACCAACGAAATTATCTTGAGAGACATTTGCTTAGAAACAAGGGGAGGTGAATCCCAAAAACAATTCATGATTTTCTAACTAATGCATTGAACTATTTTTGTATACTTTTGGTCAAGCTCTTGAATTCTGTAATTAATATTTTATCTTGAATTTAGAACTTGTAAATTGTAATCTTTAGTCTACGTCTTTACGTACAACCAAAGAAAATGATTAAAAAAAAAAAAAAAAACAAATCTTATTTGCAACTTCGATACTATGAATCGAATACTCTGATATCTTAAAAATATAGCAAGAAAAATGCATACAAAAGAATTTAACGAGCTTGTTAGAAGTGTAAGTAAAACTAGATTAATATATAAGAGACATAGGTTAATCGAGTTAGAAACTATGAAATTTAACATAATATATATAAAAACTCGAGTTTGATCCATATAAGATGACTCAAATATGATATATTGTCGATCCTAAAGTGAGATTTGGTATGAGATGGGACGGAAGAGCCATTAATTCTCAGAAAGAAAATCTCAAATGAGGAAGAAGATGTTGAAAAAAAACTTTATGTTAGAAAAAAGGCTAACAACCCCATGAGCTATGTTTTGTACATGAGCTGAAAAATGATATTTTATATCACCAGACCAGAACTCAATGTTTGGTAAATTTCTCGGTTCATTATCAATGTGATCTTAATCGTCCATGTAAAATCACTTTTAATAACATCCACTTTGACCTCGTAGTTGATCTTTATTGAGAATTAGAACCTCCTGAAAAACTTCACTGTAGTGGTGCATACAATCAACATCACAACTTTGTGGGTTTCTAATGAGTTTAGTGTTGCATTCAACTTACTCACATGTAATAATTTTGTAAGTATATATGCAGCATGTAATATGCATAATTTCTTCGACTACAAATCTTAAAAAAAAAAAAAAAAATCTTAAAGACTTCAGCATCTCAGATGTAATAACATTTTATATTTCTTGCGGCCTTCAAATGTAGTATCTATGATGTAAATCATGTAATACAACTTTAAATCAATGTGTTGGGTTCATGGTGAACATTGTTTTTCAATAAGCAAAAGATGATTTTCAAAATCACACACTTGTGTTTACTTAGGATACTGATCAATAATTATAAAAAATAAAAAGAATGCTGATCAAAACCAAACTATATTCACAGCCTTTTAAGCTATACACATTTTTATTTGGCTTAAGAAACAAATAGTATGCTTTAAGTTGTGAAGTGAGCAACCATCTCGCTCTCTGAACAAAACATAAAATGGGCCTTTGTCAAATTATTTGTGATAGTTTTTATTCGGTCTGGAGATGTAAAGTTTAAGCCCAATGGCATAAAGTTCATAATTCTCAAAATTTTAAAAACATAACATGTGTGGTCTAGACCAAAGCCGAAAGCCCAAAGCCTAAGTAACCAAAAAACAGAAAAACAAAATTTAACATTTCATTTGATTTATGCATATTCCATTTTCATCAATTATAAGTTGAAAGGTTCGAAAGTTTGTCTTTAGTAGTGAAATGAGAGGATTTAGAAACTACTATTCATTATGTGTAATTTTGTTATTGTAGTATGTTTAATAAGGAAAATTGAAATAAGTGTGCAAATACAGATATTGCCTTTATAGCTAAATCGGCTAAAATATAATATTAGAGATCTCACCACTTTGCTAAAGAAGAGATTTGGTTTGGCATAAAAGTGCGGCCGCCGAATATTCTCCATAAACTTTCTTAAATCAATAAAGAATTACGGAATCACCCACTAATTAATCCATATAATTTAAAATATAATAGTATTCAGTAATGGGCCGTGGTGGCCCGTTTAGCCTCGAACGCAGCTTAAAATGGTCCCACCACTTAATTGTCGGCCCACGCTGAGCACCGCTCTATTTCTTTGTGCGCCTTTGGCATATTGGCGTGTCTTTTTATTTTATTTGTTTCAACTTTCTGTTTCTGTTAATGTTACTATTTAAATTTTATTTCTTATCTTTAGTTTCACGGCTTCTATTTTCTATTCTTTTTTAAAAGGATTTATTATGTTTTTTTTATCTATGTCTATCTGGACTCTAGACATTTTAGTACTTTAAGGTATTCCACTTATATTGAATTTATAACTTAAAGTAGCCTTAATTTGTAATCCAACAAATCATAGGATACTAAAGGTTGAACTGAACACTATAACCTTACTGCATAACAAATACGATTAAGTGGAAATAGCAACAAAAAAAAAAAATGTATTGAACAGATTAAAGTGATTAGTGACATTTAATAAAAATGGTCTACTCACTTTTTTTTTTTAAATGGTCTACTCATATATAGAGTTATGATCCAATTTTAATTAATTATTTGAAACATTTTCAAATAACTGAACCATTTAAAATTTTATATAAAATTATGATCGCGATCCAACAAGTGGAAAAATAGCATGAGAAATTGTCTTACCTCATACTCCCTCTGTTTTACAAAGAGTGTTATTTTAGAGTTTTGCACATAAATTAAGAAAACATTAAATTTTTTGTTTTTTCTAAACAAAAATATCATTAACTATATACCTAAAATAATCTGCCCAATAATATAACAATATGCATAATACTAATAGTCATAAAACATAAAAAAAAAAAATCATTAAATTTTGCATTGAAAATCTAAAACGACACTCTTTGTGAAACAAAAATAAAATTTTAAAACGACACTCTTTATGGAACGGAAGGAATATAGAAATAGAGTATTAAATAAGTAATCCGTTACAGTGACGGAGCAAACGGACGGCACAATTGTCGAAAGGAATGTGTCTGGAGCCAGTTTTTTTTAACAGCTTCTTCACGCCGAAATATGAGACACGTGTACTGTTCTCACGCGCTCGTGTTCTTCCTAATGGTAACATACCTTCCTCGTTTTTACATTTTGGGATTTGGTATCTATCATTATAAACAACAAGGAATGTATTCGATCTCGTATTTAAGTTAGTAATACGAGATTTTGAGTGTGTTTTTTTAACAATCTTATACGACTCACAGTATATATTATACTCCTATAAAGTGTGGAACCTATTCACGACAAACTTATTAAACAGATTTTGAAGAGTGGTCTTTATAGTATTCTATATAGGCCAGTTTGATGATTTAATTAGTTAAGGCTGGGATTCTATATTTTTCGATATTTAGGATGTTTTGACCCGTTGGAGTTCAATATAATTAAGTTACGTGACGTGATTAGTAAGTATGACGTGAATTCTAGTCTCTGAAAAAGTTGATCATGGGAATATGGGATATATGTATTAATATTAAATTTAAGTAGATTTTATTTTCTTATATAAATCTAATGTATCACATGTAGAGAATGTGAAAGAATGTTAGGTTTAACCAAAAAAATTGTATCAGTAAATCAGTAAAAGATATGCAAACCATGTTATTAATAAAATTTCTAATGTATGTGTGAAAATAACATAACACGATAAAAAGTTAAATAGTAGAAAATGAAAATCATGCAATTAACCCGTCTTGATTTTGGGTTATAAATTTCCTTTTATCTTAACCTTGGATTCGTTAAAGAAGCAAACCCACCAAACCTGGTCTGCCATTATTACCGTCTTTATCAAGTTCATTTTCTTTTTGTTTTTTGTCAACTATCAAAATAACATGGATTAATTTGTTTTTAAATAATCAAATATTTCTTACGATAACAAAATTAAGACCACCATTAACGGGGTGTCTTAACCATTTCTTAAGTAAATCTTAGCTCAGACATTAAAGACAAATCTTCTTAAAGACTAAGATCCAAATTAAACTGGCTTAGCTAAAACTCAAAATTAACACTAAGATCCATCCACGTGTCATGTTTTGAATGGGTAGTGTAATTTAATTCTTTATATGTTTGTTTTTTGTCAGTTTTTAACTGTCTCTTCTTCTTTTACTATGTTTACATTGAGGTTTATTTGAGATATTGATGATATAGATTATGGACAAAATATTCCAGAAATTAAGTTTAAAACAAAAATATTTATGTTATTTATGTTATAAATTGTATGTTTTAATTTTTTTAATTTGCACCAATTATTAAATTTTCTATAATTATAAATTTTATTTTTATATTAATATTTTTTTTTCTAAGAACCACTTGTTAAGAGCCTACCATTAATCACACAAAAATTTTAATCCAAAATACAATCTCTTAACTATGACTTTTACAAATTTATTATTTTAATATTCTTAAAAACCATTTTTAAGCAACCATTGTTAATCATGCTTTAAGAAATTAAAATGAAAAGTGAAAGTATTATGGTAGTTGTGAGGTGACTTAGCATTGACCTGACAGAATCAAATCAGGTGGTAGGCATTGACTCTTTGCCTTAATGTTGAAAACAAAATGATACCCAAAAAAACAAAAGTTGATTTCCTTTTTTTTTTTTGTGTGTGGGGTTAATCCTTTCAATTTACTCATCCTTTCGATAAATTTTGTTTTAATCTTCCCCCACCCAAAAAGTTACATTCTGTTTACTAATCATACTTATTTTCACCTTTTTTTTTTTCAAATTACTCCTCCTTTGGTTATTTTTATTTCATTTTATTTTATTTTCAAAATTCCAGTCCAAAAAGTTTCTTATAGTTTCTAAGTATTACTCCATTATCGGTTTTATACTATAAAGGTATTCGGTTATAAACTACAAAAATTTTGGTTTTTCACTTTTTTGTAATACGATATTTAAACAAAAGTTAAAATTAATGAAATAAGAGTAAATTTAATAATCCCTATTTTACGGTTTTCTCATAAAATATATTCTAGTAAAAATGCATTAAAATTGTTAGTGTTTTCATGACGATGTTGAAATAGATTTTAGGTTGGCGAATAAAGGCCGTACGTTCTCCCGCCATATTTATCTATAGTAATTTTCTGGTGTAGTTGGTGTTTTCATGTAGACTCAATCTACTAATCTAGGTAAGAAACGAATGCTTGGGGCTAGGAGTATATACACTTAACAAGTCGCAAAAATGCAGAGGTTATTATATCATTCCTTCATATAAATATATCATTCTAGTTTCATGGTCATCCTTG